AAGAGGAAAACCCCCAGTGAGATGCATTGGCAAAGTGGCAGCATCAATGGGCTCAAGCGTGGCAACAATTGTGAGGTTGGCCCAGGATCAGGCAGTGTTTTGTTCTGTTGTGCATAGGGTTGTTATGAGTCGATACTTGTTCGATGGCACTAACAACGAAAACAACACAACATATCTAGATTGGAGTTGTGTTGTGGAGCTGTAGGATAAGCACTCAACCTTAAGGTTGGTTTGAACTGCAAGGTCAGTGGTTCAAACTTACCAGACTCTTTGTGGAAAACTTCTATAAGGTAGCTATCAATTGTAACCCACTCTAAGGCACTTTACAACAACATATCTAGATTGAGTGCTAGATGGTGTTGTCATTTTTATTAATCTCAGATTATTGTCTGTTGTTGTTGGTTGTTAGTGCAAATAATTTTGTATTTCTTGTAAAGTTGGTCTGGTTTTTATAAATGCCTTGAATTTCTGCTTATTTGGAAATGTTCTAATTTTGTCATTATATTTGAGGAGATGTTTTGCTGGCTATATGATTCCTGGTTAACAATTTCTTTCCTTCACTTTTGTATATGTCATCCCACTGCTTTCTTGCTTGCAGGTCTTCTTGTAAGAAATCAGAATTTGGTCTTATTTTTTCTCCTAGTAGGTTACTTTTTGTTATTCCTGATCTGCTCTCAATAGTCTCCTTGATTTTTGTTTTGGCAAGTTTGATTATCATATAGCTTGGTTATTTTCTTTTGGGATCTCTTTTGTTTGAGGTCTTTCAGATTCTTGAATAATTCCCTTCTTGTCTTTCATGTTGTTAAGTAAGTTTACTTTCAACCACATTTTCAAAATTTTCTGTGTATGTGTGTGTTATTTTTTCTCCATGATGACTTGTAAGATAGTCCTCTTCACAATAATCCACATAAATCTTAGTCTTTCTTTGGATTACTTTTCCTTCTTTTTTTCTGATCATTTCCCTAGTCCAGTATTGAGAAATTTGTCTTCAAACTCACTAATTCAGCTTTCCATTGATTGAAATCTACTTCTTTGGCTTTTCAATGTATTATCCATATCTGAAAACTTAATATTAATGTTCTAGGTTTCTATTTATAGGTTTTGTATTATTTTTACTTTTTCATTTATTTCATTCATTTGTTTTTGTAGTGTTTTCCTGAATTCTTCTCAAGTGTTTTGTGTTCTCTTTGCTTTCCTTTGTAGGTTTCTTGATCTCTTTCATTCCATTGTAGATACTTAAATAAGATTCTTTTGAATGTTTCTTAGTGTGAACTAAAATTATTTGTTGTCTTTGAGACATTGTGGTGTCACTGTGTTTAATTGATGTTAGTATGTTGGTATATGTATGTTGGTACAAGCTTTCTATGGTACAAGTCCTGGTTTGGCACTATAGGATAAGCATAGGACCACAAGTTTTGACCACAAGATAGGTGGTTCAAACTCACCAGCTACTCCTTGGAATCCCTATATTGGTTGCTGAACCCAATTCAGTTTCACTTAGCAACAATGTTGGTATTGTCACCACCACCTTCTTCCTTATGGATGAGATTAGAGAATGGAATTGTTCGTATTGGTCTCCATTCACCATTCTTATAGGGTGGGTTTGGCTGGTGTTAGCTACTGTTGATAACATGGTATTTGTTGTTGTTGTTGTTATGTGCCGTGGCGTTGGTTCTGACTCATAGCGACCCTGTACAGGTTTCCGAGGCTGTAAGTCTTTGCTTAATAATGCCAAGTCATTGAGGTTGCATATGGTATAATTATGTCATGGCTGTATTGGCACAGCTGCTGTTACCTTTCACAAGAAGTAAGATGTGAAAAAACACACAAGAAAACACAAACCAAAACAACCAAACAAGAATATAACATAGAAGTAAGAAAATTGTAAAGTTTGGAAAAAAACAGCCAGCAATAAGAAAAAAGAATATAATAACTAAAAAGTTAAGAATGTAAAAATAAACAATAAAACAGTGGAAGAGAAAAATAAGGAAGAAAAATATGAAGAAAGAAAAACACTTAATGAAATTAGGGCAATCAAAGACGAACGAGAAAGAATAGGGGAAGGCTGGACCCAGAGAACAGACAGTTCGTTAGGGCTCCTGCTTGCCAAGGAGTTTATGAGGTGGGTAGGGGCAGTATGAGACAGTGGCATTCATGACCCCATATGGAATTCCTGTGGTGGAGGTGGTGTGCTGTGGAGTTGGTTCCAACTCATAGCACCCTGAGTAAGGTTTCCAAGGCTGTGACTCTCTAAAGAAGAAGACAGCCTCATCTTTCTCTTGCAGAAAGTGTGGTAGTTTTGAACTGCTGATCTTGAGGTTAACAGGCCGACTCACAGCTTGTAAGCTTAGAGGTTATCAACATAGGCCCCAAAGCTCGTCAGGTTCTTTCAGGTTCAAAGTGGTGATCTTGTATTGGAGCAGTTGGCTATGAGAGTTCCTGCAAGTCCAGGCCTGGCTTGATTGGCGCTCTGTATTCTGAATCTCTGAAGCAGCACTTTAGTCCAGGCACTGGAGAGGTGGAGTCTGTAACTGCCTCACAATGGTGAAGCTAATAACAGTGTGGCACCAACCTTTGAGAGAGTAGGGGCTATGCTGGGGTAACGGCGGGAGGGTTGGGGCTGGCCATCCCTATGGTCACCAGGGAGTGTGAGAAATGATAAATAATTACACAGTGCCAGTCACCACTATGCATCTGTAATGTCAGGCTACTGTCTGTAATCCGACCCATATTGTTTTTGTTGTTAAGTGATGTGAGTCGATTCTGACCCATAGTGACTCTGTTATAGGGCTTCCGAGAAGCCCCTGGTGAGCTTGAACCACCAACCTTGCAGTTCAAATGGCTTTGTAGTCTGGCACTTTAACCCTCAGCAACATAACAAGACTCTATACGACCCATAGCAACCCTATATAGGATTTTCAAGGAGCGGTTCGAGCTTGAACCGCAGACCTTGAGACTCAAACGGACATTGCAGTTCAGCACATTAACCTCACAAGGAGCCCACTAGAAACCTTAGTTTTTAACAGACCGAGTACTTTTGAATATAAACTCTAATACAAAAAAAAATTTATTTTTTAGATTGTAATTTTGATTTTGATGTCCAGTTGAAGCCTGAATAGGGCAAAGTTTTCCAACAAAATTCTCGTGGCATAGCCCTAGCTACACTTTAAGAATGGAATGAATGATATCAAGATAGAAAAAAAAAATTATTCGACACAACTTTCCTAGTTTTTTTTTTCTAACTAATGCAGCTTTCTTAAAACATCTTTATAATAAAGCCCAGCAATCTTTCAGTGTCCTTTAAGAAAATCTATCAAGACTACCTTTTTGGGTTCCACAAAAGCAGTTGTAATGACATTCTGAGCTGGCCACTCTGCTTAAATTTAACTGGTCCAGCAGATAACTTTCTAACTCACTGTTTTGATTGGCCTTTTTTTAAAGGTGTCATAAGGTGTCTAAGTAGATTAAGGTGTGCTGGTGTGGCTCTGTGAGTTAATGCGCTGGACTGTATAGTCAGTTTGAACAGTAAGTTCTGCAGTTCAAGCTCACCAGCAGCTCCTTGGAAACCCTATATAGGCCACCATGAGTCTAAACTGACTTTACTTCCCACACAAAAACAAGGAGATCAAGGCAAGTATATTACTGAGTAAACTTGTCTGCATCCACCCACTGATCACAGAGATATGTCTAAACACGTTTTGTTTGGAATAAACCAGTGAGCATATGAATTGAGACTGTAGTAGTAATACTGCTAGTGTTTTGTATATCTCTGTTTTGCATATATTTTCAGATTTAAATGCACTGGGTTTTGCTCTCCTCTTTAGGCATAGTCTACATAATTTTTTGACGGTGTCATACTTTGAAAACCTATTTAATTTTCATCTTTATTTTACATTCCCATTCAAGATTTTTTCTTCAGTTCCCTCTCATGCTAATCTTTACTTTTATTAAGACAGCACATTTATTTTAGAAGGTTTACATTTTTCAGATATTTCAAAAGACTTTTTGGAAATGTATTTACTGATGTAAGGCTGAGTATTGGGTATGTGTGTATATTTCACAAACATACTCAGCTTATTTGCTTGCTGTATTGGTAATACTGGTTTGGAGGTGAACTCTTGCTTATTTTCCATGAAAATCTCTTAATGACAGATGTCACACTATTACAAATGTTTTGCAATAATGAAGTGAATCCTTAATGCTAACTACAAAGATATACAAAAATTTAGAAATATAAGACTCACTAATCAAGTGTTTCTCAATTTATTTGTGGTGAAGGATCTGCATTCCCTCCAGATTCCTTGTAAAATACAATGGAAATGAATTTCTAAAATAGAAATGGAAAAACATAAAATTACAAGCTCAAAGTTTTATTAATAAGCTCAAAAGACATTGACTTTAAAAAAATGTTCTTAATGTTTCTAAAAGCTTGCTGTCAATTTCTGTACTGATATCATTAAATATAAAGAATAGATTGCTAATCTGCTTACATTCTATGATCACTACACCAATCTGCCCTGATAACTTGAATCTGCAAATTCAATATTTCCCTATTTCTTTGAGAAAAATGCAATTCTTTTGATGAAATCATACAGAGCTTGTTTGACTTGTTGGTTTCTTAGAGTATATATAAATGGGTTTAACATTGGGGCAATGGAAGTAGTGAGTATTGATACAGCCTTATTAATTTCCACTTCTTCTTTTGCTGAAGGCTTAATGTACATGAAAATGCAGCTTCCATAGGAGATGGATACAACAATCATGTGGGAAGAGCAGGTGGAAAAAGCTTTTTTTCTTTGTTGGGCAGAGGGGAATTTTAGAATGGTCTTGATGATATATGTATAGGAAAGAACTACGCACACAAGGGTCATGATGAAGGTCAACACAGCACAGGCTATAACCATTTGCTCAATGAACCATGTGTCTGAGCAGGAGATCTTTAGGATAGGACCTGCATCACAAAGAAAATGATCAATAACATTGGAGTCACAGAATTCCAGTTTCAAACCTAGGCCAAGTGGAGGGGTTATGATTAACAAGCCACCAACCCAACAGAAGAGGATAAGCCTTCTGCAGACACTGCTGTTCATGATGGTCACATAATGCAGGGGCTTGCAGATGGCTACATAGCGGTCATAGGACATGATGGCCAGGAGAAAAAATTCTGTTGCTCCAAAAAGGATAATAAAAAATAATTGACTTGCACAAGCATTGTAAGTAACAGTGTTGTCTCCAGTAGACATGCTGTAAAGAAATCTGGGAATACAAACTGTAGTAAATGAGATCTCTAAGATGGAGAAGTTTTGGAGGAAAAAGTACATTGCAGATTTAAGTTGAGAACTCACTAAGGTGAGAGAGATGATTGTTAGATTTCCAGTGACACTCAATATGTAAGTAACAAGCAGAAAGATAAATATCAGAACTTGCAGTTGTGGATCATCTGTCAATCCCAGGAGTATGAACGTCGTTAATCTTGTATGATTTCTCATCATTTATTCATGATTTCAGCCTAATCTGTTTATATAATTGAGAATGAAATTAAAACAAAAATCCTACAAAGTTTATGCTAGCAATAGAAATTAGAATTAAACTGCAATGAATGAAATTAACAGATTTTCCTTCTGGATTTTATATATTCTGTAAATACATTGCTGTAAATACTTAAGCTCTCTGTTGCATAGTTGATCTGTGGAAAGTGTCCTCAACATTGCTATCCTGTAGTATGTTCCCCCAAATTCTAGTCCTTCTCATTTTCTCAAATTAAATTTTTTCAGTTTATTTGATGTTGTGAATACATTTGGTCAATTTAGTTTAATTCTAGTATTAAAAGCGAACATTTATGTAGATAATCTCATAGGACGTCTAATATCCTTTTACTTCTACTTTTTCTGAATTCACAAGTGGATATCAAAGCATTATCACAAATTTTATGTATCTTCTTAAAGTGTTTACTCTGCTATTAAAAGCAATACAGAAACTAATAATTTTGAAAGACTAAGCAGATGGTATGTATATTTTTGCAAAGGACTTGAGAAATCTTAGAACTGCTGTCTAACATTTAAAAAAAATTAATAGATTTTTTGAATGCCCCATCCTTGTTTTATCCATGGACTCACATGATATCTGTGCATGTTCAATCTGAAGTCAGGCACATGTTTTTGATGTACCACTTTTTACTAAACGAAAATTAAAAGGCACAGGTGGCTCTAGCCTACTTTAATGAGACTGGTTTTGGGGCCATTTACACACCAGGTGATTTTGAAATCAAGTTTGAAAATTACTGTTTTACAAAACTTAGGCTGTAGTGTTGTTG